TTTCCAACTGCATGGGGTCCACCCAGAATCTGATTTAAAATAAGCTCACGGTAGAGGGTGCGAACATGGAATTGATGCCCTAGGTTCGAATCTCAGCTTTGTTATTGACTAGTGGTGTGTCCTTGAACAAATCACTTCTGACTCTCAGTTCATCTATCCAACAGATATTTATAGGGCACCTACTATTTGCAAGGCACTCAACAATGTGAATGATAAAAGCACGTGCCTTGTAGAAGTGTTGAGAGTTAATGAGGTCGTGCTGAATAAAGGGTCTAACATGGTACCTGACACGTGGTCAGGACTCAATAAAAGGCAGCTCTTACTGTTACTATTGATAAAGTTCCTACCGTGTGTCAGGGTCTTCACAGCATATGAGGTCGGGACTACTGTTATCCTTCTATGGATGAGAAACCAAGGCTCACAGGTTAGGTGTCTTCTCCAGGGTAGAAGGTGGAACCTAAGTTCAAAACCAAATCTGCCTGCTCCTTGTCTTGACACTGCCCCTGGGTTGGTCTCTTGAGGAAGGGAAAACCTTTTGGCCCTTGTCAAAGAACCAACCCCTAAGCATCCTTCACAACCCAGCTCAAGGGCGCCCTCCTCTGTGAAGGCCTCCTGATTTTCCCTTCCCCACCCCGCATCTGTCCCAGTTGTCCCTCTCACCTCCATCCTTGGGCCTGCCTTTTCCATAGCCGTAGAGACTGGTGGTTAAGGACTTTGGAGTCAGGAAGCCAGGGACTCAAATCGTAGTTGTGCATCTTAGTTGGTATGTGACCTCAGGCAAGTCCCTTCATGTTAAGCTTCAGTGTCTTCCTCCACAAAATGGGCTAACCACGGTACTTTTGGGTTGTTGTCAGACTAAATGAGGTAAGGTATGCACAGGGCCTGATACAGAGTTAATGCCCTTCAGAACAATGCTGCCCTGTGACTGAAGGAGAACCTGCCCTTGGAGGGAGGGAAGGACCGCAGTTACTACAGTGGGAGCACTTCAAGCATTCTAATCTGTTATCCTTTAGGTGGGGAGGTCTTTTTTTTTAAATTGTACTTTATTTTTTTATTTTTATTTTTGAGATTTTTTTATTATACTTTAGATGGTTTACAGAACAAATAGTTTCTCATTAAACAGTACACGTATTGTTTTATGACAATGGTTAACAACCCCACGACATGTCAACCCTGTCCCTTCTCAACCTTGGGTTCCCTATTACCAGGTTTCCTGTCCCTGCCTGCCTTCTAGTCCTTGTCCCTGGACTGTTGTGCCCCATTAGTCTCGTTTTGCTTTATGGGCCTGTCTAATCTTTGGCTGAAGGGTGAACCTCGGGAGTGACTTCATTAGAGCTGAAAGGGTGTCCGGGAGCCATACTCTCGGGGTTTCTCCAGTCTCTGTCAGGACAGTAAGTCTGGTCTTTTTTTGTGAGTTAGAATTTTGTTCTACATTTTTCTCCAGCTCTGTCCGGGACCCTCTGTTGTGATCCCTGTCAGAGCAGT